AAATGATGTGCCCACTTAGAGAGAATACTTACAATCACGCCACACCATACATAGAACAAAAGAGAAGCAGAGCTCGAAGTAGACAAAGAACAAGATAGAAAGATAACATCCCAGAAAGTCTTCAACACTGCTATTTGTCTGTCGTCAAGGCGGTTTAAAAAGCGGCAACCAGAACTTACTCTCTCCTACTACAACGATGAATAAGAATAGGAAAAAAAAAGGAAGAATAGATAGTGTCAGAATAAATTTAACTCAGTCATGCTCATTAAGCTAATCAATACGGTAATGATGAAACAAACCATTACCATTCATATGCCGCCCCACTTCAGCAAGAAAATAATTAAAATTCAAGGAGAAGTGTTTCTGAAAAGCACACTGAGAGCATATGCGCACAATAATTTACCGTCTTGAAAAAAGATGGGCTTACGATAAGAACTCGTTACTTACGATGGAAGTATGTTACTGACACATTTTCATGTACCAAAACGGTGGTGTAGTGGCTAGAGAGTCGGCTCTGTGGATAAGTTGATGCGAACGCTTCGTAATGCTGGGGTGCCGGGTTCGATCTCAGCTGCGGGCCATGCGCCTTGCGTTGGTTTCAACAGTGGTATCAAGAAAGCCAACCGCCCAGAAGCAATGGCAAACTACTGGACGTAAATTTGCATAGAGAAACCACACAACAATTAGGGGCTGCTGGGGTTGGTTCTGCAACGTCATGTAAAGGATACACAACTAACTTAAAGTGGCTAGAGACTCGTTTGTCAACCTGAAGATCTTGGGTTTAAACACCCTCTTGACGAATTTTGAGCGGAAAAAAAATAGATCATGCCCCCCCCCCCCCTTTTTCAGGTCGACCTAGCCTAAAATGATTAATAGGAAATGTCACGAAAAGTAAAGATGGCTGCATGATATTGTCCTTATATATCCCCGATGATGTGCTGACTAGTAAATAACTATTGCGTCTAGCACTGTATGCCCGATGCACTGCAAGTTTGAAGAGGATCGTCATCATCACCAATCAACGGGTTCTTTACAGAACGTCGCACTTGTCCCGGCACGTCTGAAGGCCTATCTGTCTCTTGCTAATTCTCCAGCCCTGTGTGCTTTCATAGCCAATGCATCTTCAATGTCTTGTGTCCACCTACGCGGATTTCTGCCTCTGCCTTGTTTTCAGGAAACCGTTCTCTTCATCACCGCTTTCTTCAGGGCACTATGGCGTACGAAATTGCAAAAATACTTCAGTTTTGGGGACTGGACACTGTTTTTAAGCCAATTCTCCTGGCTGCTGAGATCATACAGGTGGAGATGTTTTTCTTCTTCATTGTCCGTGGTATTCTCATAATTTTTGTCTGAAGCAAGTTTGAAGAGGATACTTTACTTTTTTTTTTTTTTTCAACACGAAATCATGAGTTGGAGGAATATCAAGCTAATATGGCATTTTAAAGGAAGAAGTAACTGGATAAGACTAAGTTTCACATCGTTGCAAATAGAGCTATATGTATTCAAAGAATTGCAAATGTTCGCGACAGAAGGTTGTAGTGATTCATTACGACCAGTGCAATGTGATTTGAGCCAAAAGAAGATTTCCGAAAGACCTTTATAGTTTACTAACTGGGGTGAATTCCAGAAGAAAAGCAAGGATGTAAAAGACATATTGGTATACCGATGGTTTTAACCGTTATGAGACAATAAAGACGGCAGTGCACTTGACACATCTTGGTGAGAAGTGAACAGCGCATTACTAAGCAGACACTAAAATTATTTCATTGAATATGAATAATATACCCTAATATGAGAAGGAAAAACCTGTCGAGACCAGCCAAGATCTCCTGATCTTCCACCATATGACTTTTTTCCTGTCGGGGGTATGTCAAAGATGCAGTACACGTACCACCTCGACCAAACCGACCTGCAGAACCGTATCAAAGCTGCAGTGAACTAAGTTATGCAAGAAATGTGTGTGTGGGGTGAGTTCGACTACCGCTTATATGTTTGCAAGGCATCAGACAGTGGCCATATTGAACATTTATAACTTCAATTGTAGCTTTTAAGCTTTAGATCTCTCTCTCTCTCTCTCTCTCTCTCTCTCTCTCTCTCTCTCTCTCTCTCTCTCTCTCTCTCTCTCTCTCTCTCTCTCTCTCTCTCTCTCTCTTTTCTGTATATTATTGAAATGTAATGTACATTCAAGGAAATATACGTTTTTCCGTTATATTGAATAACCCCGTATAATGTTTAAGCTGTCTTTTATCACATAGAGTTATTATATTAACCCTTTGTGTCTAAATTACTAGTTTAACTAGTTTTGTCTCACAGTATCTTTGTTGAACCACCTCAGACCTAAGTATTTACTGTTTTTAAGCGTAACCCCCTTGGAATAGAAAGAGTTTAATTAACAGCCTCATAAGACTGAAAGAGTTAACTTTCAATTAATAAATAAAGTAATGTGACACAAATTCAGTTAAAGCCTCAGCGAGTGATGTGGCAAGACGATTATCCGCCAGTTCGAATGTCTTAGGTGTACATCCCGATCGAGCAGATTTTCATAAATGACTTTGCTCTGAAGCCGGCTATGGCTAGTATTGGTACCAAGAAATATCTTTGGAGATAAAGGTGGCTGGCGTAATGTCTACAATATAACCAGAGGAGTGCAGATTGGTCTGTGTAAATACAAGCCTACTATCATACTTAACTGCATCAATGGCATAAAGGTGTCGTAATCAGGTAATCGCAGTCCAGCAAACGGTTCTCCCTTAGCTGCTCTGTTCATTTGCCAACGAAAACCACACATAATGCCATTCAATGCCCCATTTTAAAAAAAATGACAGAGAATGTAGTCTTCGCAAATCAAAATGCAGACACAGGCTTTACGTAATGCGTAAATCAGCAGTATAAACAATCTGACACTATAAATGCATATCATCGTCGATGAAAGCAGCAGTAACAGCAGTTGCACATGCAAATAATCGTATACAGCACCACACATTCTATGGTATTAGGCCACTCGCCATTTTCTGAACCTTTAGTTCACAATAAAAACCGCGTTGGGCAGATTCAAAAAAGCATTCCAAATAAACTTGGCAGCTCACAGTCCCACACCGTCCTCTTGGCTAAGTAGCTGGATCCTGAAACCTTATCCATTCAGTCTACAAATGGAGGAAAATGCATCAGTTAACTATTTTCAGATGCAAAAACGCCACGACTAAAGACAGTAAGCCTGTCTGTCGGCGATATTGACGGGAAGTCCGTGAAGACCCGTTTAATCTTATGAAGATAACGTGTATTGACTTATAAAATGTGTGGTAATGAAACAGTTTGAGAATCACTGCGTCGAGAAATACATAAAAGACATAAATATTGATATTGTTAGAGTGATAGAAGTTTAATGAACCTTTGGTGTCCGCATCGATGATCACTTTTATGTCAGTGCCTTTATGCTGTTCATTATATTGTTAGCAGCTCTACATAAGCTGATGTTCTGCAATGATAGTTTAAATAGTGAGATACAGTCGTCTCTATGTGGATGCAATTTTTCGTTATTTGAAGCCCCACCCTGGATTTTGCAGGGGGCCCTGAATATAGCCGGGCCATAAATATGGCCTAACGGCTGAAAGGGGTGATCCTCCCCCACATGGTGGCACTTTGTGCCACCGGGTGTTTATCGCTTGTGTGATGTCCTGGTGGAGTACAACAAGAGAGGGAAAAAGAGTGATGTTCTGCAATGAACTGATAGAGAAATTCCTAGGCAATGGTTGGTATTCATTAAACATGTCAGGAAAGAAGTAGGTAGTTGAAAGACAGGGAACGACTAAACTATTTATTATACAGTAAATAAAATATATTTATAAACTTCAAGCATTCATTAACTGGTTGATGGAAAGAAAAGATATAATAAAATTGTATGATAGAATCCTTAACGTGAATCTTCTGGAAAGAAAAGATATAATTAAATTGTATGATAGAATCCTTAACGTGAAGCTTCTGGAAAGAAATCAACTAAACCGATTCCAGCGAGTCTATAGGCGAGGAAAATATGATGCCGTTGGATATTTTCCTAATGTAGTAAATCTGATAACATTATGGCAAGAGGGTTCTTGCAATGGAACCACAGAGTCAAGTGAATACTTGGCCTCCACGCAAAGGTTTGGTCACTACAGACTGCCACCAGCTGCTTCCTACACCTTGCCATAACCATTGACCTTTGAAATGTTGTTGTCAACACCCAGTCCGGGTTTACTCAAGTGTGTCTACACTGATAACAGTCTGACGTTTTAGTAGAAGATCCCCAGAGATATTGAGGGAACCTAAACCTATGAACTGTTCTGTTATTGTACCAGTTTCAAATGTTAAGAAATCTACATATGACTACGGAGAGGAGACTGTCAACAAAGTCCAACCACTAAACTGAGTTTAACTGTACGAAATAGGAAAGTTCAGGCATCAAACATTTAGTGCCCAGACTACCTTTACTCTATAACATCTGAGCTGTGATGATTTAAAGACTAGTGAATTCAGACAGTCAAGAGTAATTTTTGACTATTCAAGATAGTATTTATGTCTTGCCCTACTTATACCATTTTTTTCTGTGTCAGTCTATTGAGTGTTTTGTTTGGAACTTAATACATCATGCTTGGTTACTCTAAAATTACCTTTCTTGGTGTCTGGTATTTTATAGTTCACTTTAGTTAGGTCTTTCTGTGCTTGGTTAATACATCAGATTTATATTGTACTGTGTTTTTGAGTGTGATATTGATCCTATCCAGTCTAGGAGGCAATTAAGTGGCGAGAAAGTCTGGCCAAGTTGTGTACAGGAATTTCTGTTGAAATTATGTGGTGCCAAATACTGGAGTTGCCTCATCCCTGGAGTTGTGTTGGATGGTTTTTGGAGCCTAGACCAATACGAGCCGCCATCACAACAATATATCACTTCAGAGTGTCTTTTATTATTAAAGTAGACCCTAATTTAGACACGTGACAAAACCGTCTCCTGACAAGAATCTTACCTTCAGGCGTTAGCCCCGTTGTGCTGTAGGGCTCGGTTCGAAGCGCCACCTCTTGAAATATTATTGACACTGCGTATATATCGCCCTTCTCAGTTCCTCGCTGTAGTAAGTTTGGGTCTCGCAATAGTTCGGGCGCAGACCACAGCAAGTCTGAAAATAATAAGGCATGTAAAGATTATAGTTTAATAAAAAAAATTCATACATGTAGGCATACATTTTGCACATTCCAGCGTTTGTTTTAAAGGACATCCTCTGTAATAAATTACAGGTAGGTCGACGATGGCGGTCTCTACTACAATATAAAGATGTGCGCAAGCGGGACATAAATGATACAGATATCGAGGTAGAATCGTGGGAACAAAAGGACCTATTGTGTGAAGTGGAGGTAATCAGCAATGCAATTGGAAGTAAAGTAAAGGTCCCTTTTCCACGCCTTTGGGGTGTATTGGGTATATAGACCTACATTTTATAGACCAATGGCACAATATAGGTGATGTGGTCAGCATCAAGCTGGCCGCCTTTACTTCCCAGGAATGTACCTGCTACCAAGTCAAGGCTGGGTCGACCTGGGAGCAAGGTCATTTTTGAAAAACGTCTGACTTCACCATGGAGCCAACCCACGACCTTCTGATCCGCGGGCGAGCGTCTAGCCGCTACGCCACGGAGACTCCCAGTGCAAGTGAAATAAAGGGAAAAAATCTTGATGAAAGGTTGAGAGCTCAGCGTCTGAGAAGACGCAGACTAAATGCACGTGATGGAAACAGCAGACCTGATGAAATGCTTTGATCTTATAATTGTGGCAGACTTTTATTAACACGGGCGGGTCTAGCTAGTCATACTCGCCTTGGCCATGGGCTGTAACTCAACATAACACTATCGTCTGTAAAGACCTTAAAGGGCCAACCAAACCAATACCAACAACCAACATTTGTAATTGATATTTAGTTATTATAGATCTGCAGTTGTTTTAGATGTACTTGACGGTAGGAAAGTTGGAGGGGAAGAGAAGCAAAGGGAGACCGAGAGAACAGATGTTGGATAGTCTGACATCATGGCATGGAAGATCATCAGTGTCCTACTTGATTAAAAGTACAAGAGACAGAAGGTTGTGGATAGACATGCCTACCAACGCCACACGGCATTGACTTTAAGAATAAGAAGATCGAGTTTATTATTACATATTACCAGATGTACAGTGTGTATGAATCATTCCTTCAAGAAAATGGTTGTTCTTCAGCTGTATCGAAGCGTCCGTGGCTTAGGCTTTGCGAGTCCGACTCGTAATTTTAAACGTACCGCGATCGAAACCCACTGCTGGTTGTGTGGATTTTTATCATGGTATTTGACGTCGCAGGTCGACCCATTCAAAAAAGGGTACCAGGATAGTTGTCCTGGGGAAGTACCTACCTACTTAGTGCCGATGATCTGTAAAAAATATGGGCGCTCTTCCCATATACCCGATACGCCTAAAGGCGTGAAAAGGGATCTTTACTTTACTTAAGCTGTATCAAAGACAACTTTTTAGGACTGATTCTTGTAACACACTAATAGCATTGACTTTACCGTCCATGCCTTTGATACTATAATTTCTGTAATCTTAATATATGAAAATCACATTTGACAAAAGCCTGTCCTTCAAGGACCATGTGGAGACGATTGTGATAAGATGCCAAAGAGGACTCGAAGCACTTAAGACTATGGCTGCAATGCATTTAGAGCAGAGAATGCTTGTCACACTAAATTAGCACTTGGTGTTCTTAGTGATTAATTAGAGACCAGGACTGCATATATAGTCTGCATGTATAGACTGCATGTATGGACTAGGACTGCTCACTGCCTCAAAGTGTCAGATGGTTAAACTAGAACGCATACAGAACGCAACTGTGCAGATCATTTTAGGATGGTGGCGCGGTGATTTGTGTCACAGGCGTGAGGGGAAGTTAAGTCCAACATGATGTGTATAAGGAGATACTCCGTACGTCACTCGGGCGCCAGTCCTTTACTATCCTGGTTGTACGGAACCTCACGCAAGACCCCTACAGCACGTCCTCGTCGTGCGCCACAGATAATGTCTCAAATGAGCATTAACAGAGCTGTCAGGGGATCTCGGAGTTCGGCGGCCCCCAGAGGTGATGTGTCCTTGTGGCTCTCATCAGCCAGCCCCCCAAACGCTTGGGTGAAAAATGTTATCAAAACTCATTAGGAACATGAGTAGGTTTGCCAAACGTACAGCCAAAATTACAACCCTTGGTTAAAAGACTGCGGAATAAAGAGAACATTGTTCACTGCGCATCCTCTGTTAACCCTCAGTGTCGTCGTCACCGCGCTGAGGTACACCACAACAGCAACCATCCATAGGCTGGCCATCCTTGTACATCCTCGGTTAACCCTCAGTGTCGTCGTCACCGCGCTAAGGTACACCACAACAGCAACCATCCATAGGCTGGCCATTCATGTACATCCTCGGTTAACCCTCAGTGTCGTCGTCACCGCGCTGAGGTACACCACAACAGCAACCATCCATCGGATGGCTAAGCCTAAATGTCCGACAAAACTAGATCATACGGATCAAAATCTGACCATCAAAATTTGTATTGAACTGAAAAAGACCGAAGGTCCACACCCAAAGACCCCACTCGCCCGAGTGTTGGGACAAAACTGATAACGATATGCCTGACGCAGGATGTAAAATTCTGTCGGGCTAACGGCTCGTCAAAGAAATCTAACGTGCGAAGAAAAAAGAATGTACCTATCTGTGTGGTCACAAAAGTCCAAAACCCACGGGCTGCTCCCCGCTGACTTCCAGAGGGCGCAGCCCCTGTCGAGCGGGAGGCCTGACACGGTTGTGAGGTTAAGCAGGCATGTGCAGGACGTGACGATTCCTTGGGTGAGCCCAGAACCAGAGCGCCATGTGCCGGCTCTGCATGCATGGAAGCCTCCTTGGATGGCGGGGAATGCCCATGATCTGCCCCTGCCTTCCCTTGAGGGCTAACTGTTCCACAGGGGGCTGTCCCAAAGGGGTACTCCGGGGGCAATACCTGCGGCGAAGGAGACAAAGTGGACACCACACAAATCAGGCAAAGTCTCGACCCACACAAAACAATGGCCACAGTCACCCTAGAAATAGGCCTGACGTCTTCCTTCGAAGTCGGAGTACAGCTGCCCATGAGGCAGGGAAATGAAAAACGGTTGTACACGCAAAAATCAGGTCCAGGTGAAAGCCAAAAGTCCAAGCGGACGATCAACCGGGAACTTCCACTGGAATTCACAGCCGGTGATCGATTAAAAAACAAAAAAAATTTTAGGATGTACTTGAGACATCCCAGGAGTGTGTAAGCAAATACATCCTTGGTTTGCTGACTGTTACAGATAAGCTTAGGATGTTGCAGGCGAAGTCATATTTCAGAGTAGTTGCAGACACAGATTATCCTTTGCACAAAGGGCTGGATGCAGTGAGGCTTTTGTGTTTGATAAGAGGGAAGTCATGGATTACTCAGGTGGATGACACAATCAGACAGGTTTGCATTCTGGAGAAAAATATGCGAGGAGAGGAGTGGGTCAGAGCGTCAGCGGAAAAGTCAGATTTGAATTGTCATAATCATGTGGAGATAAGAGTGCAGTTAGTGGCCAGCAGGTGCCACGCCGGTCTAAATTCAGCAGGTAATTAAGGATAATGTTCGCTCGGCTGATGTGATTTTTTATGCAAATGGTTTAGTGTCAAAGGTCAAAAGAAGTGCCTGGGTGTTCTTGGCAGAAGCTAATGGTCAAAGTTTGGCGCAACATCCAGCAGTTTTTCGTTGGCTAAAGAACACACACACGCGCGCACGCACGAACGAACGCGCGCACACACACACACACACACACACACACACACACACACGCACACATCGTGATTGTATTTGACTCAGGAAGCATGCAGAGAAAGGTGAAGACAGGCATGCTTCGCGCAGAGTGGCTATTGGCACCACTGGTACTGGAACTTTGCGTAGGCTACTGAAGATGAGGACGGAGCGCTTATTAGAATGCCTTGAGTGATGTGATGTCGGTTCTTGAAATAACTCAGATTTTTTAATCTTAATAATATCAATATGAGGTTTTTATGTCGAGCCTCTTTCTCTCTTAATCTCTCTTTTTCATCCCCAACTCTTCTCTCCCTAATCTCTCTTCTCTCTCTCTCTCTCTCTCTCTCTCTCTCTCTCTCTCTCTCTCTCTCTTTCTCCTTCTCACTCTCTCTCTCTTACTGCATAAGAAGTCCCAATCAGCGAAATCTTCAAGCATATTCATCTCTATCTACGCTCTTGGTGCTAGCCTGCTGATCAAAAGGTCGTGGGTTCGCGTCATTACGGCACTGGACATTTTGTTATTCAAAAATTACTTACTCCCAGGTCAACCTAGTCTTTAGTGGGTACCAGTTGCGGTCCTGGGAAGTAAAGGCGGCGGGCGTGATACTGACCATATCACCTACCAAGTGCTGATTCGGTCTATAAAATATTGGTCTCGCCTTATATTCCCAATACGACTAAAGGCGTGGACAAGGGACCTTTATTAACTTTACACCAAAGCGGTAAAAGATGATTTGAAGAAGTGGCAGAAGAAGATTTGGTCTGTTCCATTAAACAGGTTTTTTTTTTTTTTTTTGCTCTGATGAAGGCTTTTGAGGTAAACAGTAAGATTTTTTCATTGCTAATAAACACAGTATTAAGGAAGGAGGGCTGGGGGAAAAAGGGGGGGGGGGGTCATAATACTATAAAAAGACATTAATCAGCGTGTCGTCTCCTTAAGAAGATTAAGTGCGGAACAATTTCCCTCGAGGAAAATACTGTTACATGTAACTACTTCCGACTAGATTGAGTAAGCATCCCAAGGTTATGATAACCAAAGCTTGTCTTGTAGGAATTTTAACTGTGTTCGCTCAGCATTCTCCGCATAAATTATACAGTTGACTCATCTCAAGCGAAAGGAAATACTTGAAAATAGCTTCAGGCTTCACAGGTAGACACGGGATTACAACTGCTAGTGTTAGAAATACTGTTTCATGTCTTCCCCCTCCCCCCCCCCCCCCCCCCCCCCCCCCCCTTTTTTTTTTTTACTAGAAGCCTCTGAGATGTCTTCAGAAATTTACAGGAAAGTCCAGTATTATAGGGGGAGGT